GCAGGAGCCACAGGGAAACCCTGTCTCAAAAATACAAAATAAATAAATAAATAAATAAATAAATAGCCAAGAGCAGGCTGGGGATCAGATTAAACTGTAATGCTTCTTTTCCCAAACTCTTCATTTACCTGCAGGGGTTAAACACAATGTTTTTTTTTTTGAGGCAGGGTCTCCCTGTAGCCCCAGCTGGCCTGGAACTCTCTATGTAGAACAAGCTGGGCTTGAACTCACAGAGATCTGCCTGCCTTTGCCTCCGGAGTGCTGGGATTAAAGGCGTGTGCCACCACACCCAGCTTGAAAGATTAAAATTTCTATATCTTAGTTCCTCACATTACTCTTAATATCCACCATTACCTTTTTGAAAAATAATATAGGGATATTAAAAATAAATCATAAGGTGCTAGAGAGATGGCTCAGTGAGTGTGTTTGCTTTGCAAGCATGAGGACCTGAGTTCTAAGCCCAGCACCTATGTAACAAGGCTGGACTGCTCCCAACTGTCCCTGTGACCCAGCAACGTGGGGGGGTGGTGGAGATAGGAGGATGGCTGGGGCTTTCTGTTTGCCTAGACAGAAAACACAAGTTCCAGGTTCCAGGCAAGACCCTGCGTCAAAGGAGCAAGATGGAGCGTGACAGAGAACATCTGAAGCCTTCCTCAGGCAGACACCTGCACACACATGAACACACAGCACACAGACACCACACACACACAATTTAAAAAACATGTGGGGCTGGAGAGAGGGCTCAGAGGTTAAGAGCACTGTCTGCTCTTGCAGAGGACCCGGGTTCGATTCCCAGCACCCACATGGCAGCTACGAACCGTCCTTAACTCCAGTTCCAGGGAATCCGAAACCCTCCTCTGACCTCTGCGGCTTTGCACGACACAGGTGCACTCACATCCATGCAGGCAATACGCTCATACACATAAAATGGAAATAATATATTGCTGGGCATGGTGGCACACGCCTTTAATCCCGGCACTTGGGAGGCAGAGGCAGGTGGATCTCTGTGAGTTCCAGGCCAGCCTGGTCTACATAGTGAGTTCCAGGAAAGCTGGGGCTCCAAGGAGACCTTGTCTCAAAAAAACAAAAAATAAAAAAAATAAAAAATATTTTTTTAAAAAAAGATCATGGTTGGCAGGATGGAGAGACGGCTTAGTGGTTAAGAGCACTGGCTGCTCTTGCAAAGGACCCGGGTTCAATTCTCAGCACCCACCTAGAGGCTAACAACACTCTGTAATTCCAGTTCTAGGGAAATCTGATACCCTTTTCTTACCTCCACTGGCATTGCAGGACATGGGTGCATTTACACACATGCAGGCAAAAACTCATATGCAAAAACTAAAAATAATAAATAAATCAAATCATGGTTCGGTGAGACAGTGACACCCTGAGTTTGATTCCCAGGACCCACATGTGGAAGAGAACAGACCACTGTAAGTTGTTCTCTTACTTCCGTAAGTGGGCCATGGCATACCCCCCGATAAAATGGAATAAGTTTTAAATAATCATAAGCCGAGCATGGTGATGAATGCCACTCTTAGCACTTGGAAGGTTGAGGCAGGAGGATCAGAAGGTCAAGGCCAACCTTGGCTGTATAGTGTGTTTGAGGCCAGCCTGGGTAACACAAGATCTCTCTCAAAAAACGAAACAAAGCAAGGGGCTGGAGAGTTGGCACAGCAGTTAAGAGCACTGGGTGCTCTTGCAGAGGAACTGAGTTCAGTTCCCAGCACCCACATGGCCCCTAACAACTAAACTGCAGTTCTGGGATCTAACAGCCTCTTCTGGCCTTTGTGGGTACTGTATACATGTGGTATATTTATATGCAGGCAGAACACTCACACACATAAAATAAATAAACAAAAATTTAAACATAAAAATATACAGTAGCAAAGACACAGACTGAGAATTAGGCGTCTCTACTGTACTGGGCAAAGTTCATGTGCTGTCAGCAATCATTAACTGTTTCTCATGACTCATGGCTGATCTCCCGGGTGCGCACAGGGAGAGCACTCAGGGATCTGTGGGCCTGGGTAGCCCAGCCAGCGTGGTGCCCTCAGGATGGCCCCACGATGTCCCCGTCCACACACTGCAGTGTACACGTCCCATCTTTCTGTGGTTCTGTCTCTCCACCACCGTCTCGTGAAGATGGATCTATAGCTGCATGTGTAGCTCCACCAGCATCTTCGAGGTTGCCTGTCTGTACCCTGAAAGCGTATCACATTGTGGCATTGTGTCTGTCCTATGTAGTGAGATGCTTGGGTTGCTTCGCTTCTGTATTTTTTTGGGGGGGTAGGGTGGGGGGCAGGGTCTTACTTTGTAGACCAGGCTGGCCTGGAATGCACAGAGATCTGCCTGTCTCTGACTCCCTAGTGCTGGGATTAAAGGCATGTATCCCGATTCTGGGCTTTGCTTTCTATCTCTGTTACAAACACCGCATCGATGACTATCACTATATTGTGTTTACAGAGTTTAATAAAGATGCGTAGAAGGTTCCTGCCACAACTCCAACCTGTCACCTGAGAACCTCGAGTCCTACAAGCCACCCCTAAATCAGTGCATCTCCCAAACCTCATCAGAGAAGTTTCATTTTTCAGTAGAGACCCACAATTGGCCAATGTATAGATAAGAGACTGTGGACTGCTCAGCCCTAAATGGAACCTCTATATTACCCTCATGCCAGAAAAATCTTAGGGATCATCTGGGAGGATGGGGTGGAAAGATCTTCGAGCCAGAGCTTGTGGATGGCTACAAGGAAACCGGTTTCCAGACATAACGGGGCAGTTGCACATATGAATTGACTGCAGCTGTGACAGCATGCACAAGAGCTGCACAAGACCAAGAGGGACAAAAAAACCCCCTAGCATGGAGGAGGGAGGTGGCCAGGAAACCGCACCTCTGGCTGAGGGGCTATGGGCACTGATGGCTGCTGAACAGGAAGAGTCAGTTTTCCTTAAGGCTGGGCTCCTGAGAGGCTACCCACAACGCAGGAGATGGCCCTACACATTTTTCCCTTTAAAAATACATTTTAAGGCCGGGTTTAGCGGCACACACCTTTAATCCCAGCACTTCTGAGGCAGAGGCAGGTGGATCTCTGCGAGTTCCAGGCCAGCCCTGTCGACACAGTGGAAAGAAAAGAAAAGGAAAAGAAGCCAGAAGTAGGCAAAGGGCAATCATGGGTTTAACACCAGACAAGGCAAAAGCCAGAAACCTGTTAGAAATCCATTAACGTTCTCCGAATACAAGTGTTACATTTTCTGCAAAACCAGAAATGAATGGCAAACCTCTTGGTCCACCCTTTAGGAAACCTTCCAGGGGCCCTCCACCGCCCTCAGACTGAAGTCCGAATGCCTAGCTGGTCTGGCAGCCTGCGTGGCCCCTGCCTACAGAGCATCCTGACCGTGGGGGGTGGGGTGTGCACGGCTGCCCCGGGTGCACAAGGCACTACTAGACTTGGCTCCTCGCGTCCCCCCAGGAGTCCCAATCTCGGCTGGGGTCCCCATTTTCCAGCAAGGGCTGGGCTGGCCTCTGGGCCTGTTTTTGCAAGTAGTCTCCACCTGCCAGGACAGTAATCCTCTGGCAAGAGGATCACGAGTTCGAGGTCAGCGTGGTCTACATGGTAAATCCTGGCCAGCATCCAGCATCCGCCTCATGGGGCAGACCCTGTCTCAAAAAGGAGAGAAAAAAAGTATCAAACAAATCCAAGTTTGGTTGGTTGTTTAGATACAAAGTTTTATGAACCCGGGATGGTTTCGAACTTGCAATGTAGCCCAGGATAACCTTGAAACTGTGATCTTCCTGCGGCCTCCACCTCCAGAGGTCATAGGCGTGCGCCGCCATGCTCCACCACCAACACAAGATTAATGGGAAACGCTCCCTGGGGGGGTCACAAGCTTGGAATGAGAACTATTCTAACCCGTTGGAACCACTGCCCTTTCCATATAAAATGCTCCTGGTGACCAACAGAGGGCTGGACAGGGGCAGTCTGGGGTACCACTTGGTCCCTGCAGGGAGTGAGGGTAGCCTTAGGCATGTCCACCCAGGAGTTGGATAAATTCCCATTTCAAGGCGAGTGACTGGCTGCGCGCGGGGAGGCACGCAGGCCGGAGGGTGAGGGGAGCACCCCGGGCACCTCTGCAGCCAGGACAAGCAAAAGCGTCACGGAGACGTCCAGGGCCCACTGCGGGAAGCTTGGGCCGGACGCGCGCTTTCCCACACGCCGGCGAGGCTGCCCTCTATCCCCCGGACGCTTTGGAGTCCCCGGCCCAGCAGCTCAGCCGTTCTCCCACAGTGGCCCTGCGTTAGTGCTGACTAATGCTAAGGGCCAGGAAGGACTCCGCGGAACCGCATACCAAAAAAAAAAAAAAGTTCTGATGCAAAGAGGGAAAAAACTCGGGAAACTTTGTCACTTGCATCCCGGGCACCAAACACTGCAGGGAGGGAGGGAGCGGGGTGCTCAGAGACAAGAGTCAATCTACGAGGAAAAGAAAGAAAAGAGCACCGAGCGCCCAGCTAGGACACCTCCTCTCCACCCCGGCGGGCACGGCGGCCCCGGGGCTCAGTCTTTGGAGAGGTCCAACCCTCCGTGTCAATCAGCCCCATCCGGCGTTGCGGTTGGCTGGGGGCTTCCTTGGCCTCCCCCAGGGCCCACCTCCTAGTTGCTTGGGGTTTACTTCCCCAAAGTACACGGGCCCCACCTTGTGGATCAACCGCTCCTGCATGGACCGAGGCTCTCCGCCCAGAGCAAGAGATGCGAACCAATGAGAGAGGGCTCATGCAGTTATTGGCTAGCCTGGGCATCGCTCACAGGCCCTCCCACCCTCAGTTCCACATCCCTTCCAGTCGTAGGTGCCGGTGCGTGCCCATCCAGGCACTAGGAAGCGCGCTCCTCCCAGAGTCATAGGCGCAAGGGGAAGCCAATCAAGAGCCACGCCTCCATCCCGGGTTGCCATCCAATCGCTGTCGAAGAGCTCGGAGGCTGCGGGAGCGATTGGTCCTACTCCGGCCCGGCCAGGGCGCAGCAAGTTAGGCTGAGCCGCGGGTATATAGCCGGGCGGCGAGCACGCGTGTGTGCGGCCGTATTTGCGCGAGGGGTCCCTGTCATCGTCGTCCTCCGGAGCAGCGCCCGGTCCTCTCCCGCTCATCCGCGCAGGTAGGCCGGGCTGCAGGGCGGGGCGGGCTGGGGCCCAGGGGAGGGGAGAGGGACCAGCCCGGAGCTCCGGGGCGGACCTCGCGGGGGAAGCGGGAGGCCCGGAGCAGCCGCCGCCGCGCGATCCGCGTCCCCAACCCCCACCCAACGGCCGGCGGCGCGCGCGGCCTCCCCGCCCTGCGCTCTGCGCCCTGGGCGCGTGGCCGGGTGGCCCGGCGCGCGCGCGAAGCCGCAGCCAACGGCCACGCGCGGCGGGAGCGAGCTGGCTCCCGGGACGATCTCGTGGGTGCCCGGGTGGGTGTCATGCGGACAGCAGGTCCCACGCGCATTTTCCGCCACGCGTGGGGTTGCAGCCGGGTTCCCACCCGGAGGAAGCGCGGGTGCATCTTGCAGTCCTACAAAGCGGGCAAGTGCGTCCCGGGAGCGAGGGCGCCCGCGGGTGCAGGGACAGCCCTGGCTGTGTGAGCCCGCACTCTTATGAGGAGCTTCTGTTCCACCGACCACCTGGGCCGGGTCAGGTACCGTGGACTCGGAGACGCGGAGGTGCGTGACTTGAACCAAAGCGCACAGCCGGGAAGGGACAGGTGTTGGCATGCAGGCTGCGTGGCTCCGGTTGCCCACCTAGCTCATGAACCTGGGTGCAAGCCTCACCCTCTGCAGGAGGCACCCGCGGGGGCCTAGGATGGGTTCCGGGAAGCCAGGGGTTGGAAATGGGGCCAGGAATGGCAAAAGAAAAGGACTTGGGCTTTCTTCTTGCACGCATTCCAGCACTCCTGCACCTAGGTGGTAGATGTGCTTCCATTCCAGGGCTGTTTCTGGGGAAAGTAGAGAGGAAAATACTGCAATCGCACAGCGTGATGATGGGAAATTCCCGCCTGCAGGAAGTGAGCCTCTG